TGTGTGTTTGTGAGTTAGTGACCAAGGAAGTCGTATCTAGATGCGGAAAGGATGGGCAGTGTAGCTGGTCCCCGTGGCCCTCTGGGTTGGAGGGAAGTAGGGCCTGTCGTGGTGTCATTCAGCCCTACCCTGTGCACATCGTGATTTGTTTTGTTTGTTCTTAGTCTATTTGTGCAGCCGTGGCATTTTTCTACAGCAACTACCTTCTCCTTCACTGGCAACTCCTGGTCATGGTGATATTTGGTTTTTTTGGAACTGTTTCCTTCTTCACTGTGGAGTGGGAAGCTGCTGCCATTGTTGCCCGGGGCTCGGACTACCGGAGTATCTGATGAGTTGCCAGTGAGGACCATGCACCTCTTCAGAAAACACAGCTGGCCGCAGAGCTTGGTGGAAGAGACCCTCTTTCATTTTCACAGTGTATCAGATCATGTTCAGTATGGAAAATTGAAGAATTAAGACTGTTAAGTCAGCTAGAGTGGTATCAAGTTTACAGATAGGAGCTATTTAAAACAAGTGAAATAAGGGAAAGCTTTTTGTCTATATGATTTTTGAAAGATATTGTTTTATAGTTCATCTTTCTCTAGTCCCTTACAATCATGATAGAATGCAGAGATTTTCTTGTCCCTCCTGTTCTCGTTGAAAAATCCTGCCTTGATTCAAAATACCTGGCCATAAGTTATGTAAAGATTTTTTCTGGGGATGGAGTCTGTTTTACTGTGTAACCATTGAAGATATGTGCCATTCTCTGTGTGTGTGGGGGGGATGACGTTGTAATAAATAGCAAGATGCTGAAATGAAATCTTTGAAAAGATTTCTTCCACTTTAAATGTTTTGTTTGATCAGTTTTTTTACCTTGTAGTTCATAGCAAGGAGTGGCCAATTAAGTATTATGAAACGAGGTAAAAATTGTCTTCTGTCTTAAAAACAGGAATCTAGCTTCTGTAAACAAAAACACTTCTGAAAAGACAAACACCTTTACTAGGGGAGAGGACTTTGCTAGTAACTTTTCTGGAAGATACAGTACAATACTCCCCCTAAAAAAAAACCAAACTCATAGTGAGATCTGAGCCATGGTAGCAGGCCATGGTCACGTCATTTATGTGGGAGTCTTAACAGCAGATGCCAGTCCACTGTTACATACTGAGGAATGGAATTGGAATCGTTTGTGAAGATGTTTAAATGGATGAGTTAGCTTTCCTTCATAAGAGCTCACTTAAATTTTTTTTTAGAGACAGTCTTACTTTATTGCCCTGGGTAGAGTGCTGTGGTATCACAGCTCACAGCAACCTCCAGTTCTTAGACTTAGGCGATTTTCCTGCCTCAGCCTCCTAAGTAGCTGGGCCTAACGGTGCCCGCCACAATGCCAGACTATTTTTTGTTGCAATTTGGCTGGGGCCAGGTTTGAACCTGCTACCCTCAGTATATGGGGCCAGTGCCCTACTCACTGAGCCACAGGCACCGCCCGCGTTCACTTAAATTTATAATTGAAATAAAATTTAGGACCAGGTGCAATGGCTCATGCTTACAATCCTAGGACTGTGAGGTCTAGGTGAGTAGATTGCTTGAGCTCAGGAGTTTGAGACCCTATCTTTACTAAAAATAGAAAAACAGAGGCAAGAAGATTGCTTGAGCCCAAGAACTTGAGTTTGCTGTGAGCTATGATACCAAAAAAAAAAAAAAGAAATAAAATGTAAAAATCGTACAATTCACCATTTTAAAATATATATACTCAAAAGATTATATACCATCACCATCTTTTAATTCCAAAATACTTTTATCACCCACAGGCAACTGCCTGCCTGTTAGTAGTCATGCTCCCTTCTGTGCATGGCAACCCTGAATTTTCTTTCTGTCGCTATAGATTTGCTTCTTCTAGACATTCATATAAACAAGAGAACTCACCTTTAAATGTGATGTTTAAGTGTACAAATTAGTTTTTTTACCAAGTAAATTGAGCCAAGAGGGCAGCCATATATATA